GGTTCACCGTGTAGCAAGCCGGTATGTAGCAGTGCCACCTGGTGACCGACGCCATGACAAAGTCCTCTTACAGTACCACACGGCGCAGAAATGTGCTGTATGACATGACAGAATTCTCCTGCTTTTTTCATATGCGTATTAAGGCTTACTGTTCCAGAGCTCAGTATGTGAAGTGCAAAACTGACAATGAAATCTCCAGTTTATAAATATAACAATATTTGTAATATAAAAAGAGTATTTGGAAACTATGGCACCTAGACATACTGAAGAGAAATGGTTCTTATGTTAAGGAAGCTAGACTGTAATTAACCATAAGAGGAAAATGCAGTGCAGGGAAGAGGAGACCCAAAAACACTGCTGATCTTCCCCGTGAAGGCAAATGTCAGTCTCAGCTTCCTCACTTTCTCAATAACACAAAGTCATAAACAATTAACAGACACGTCCCAGCAACTCTGCTCCAATGGCAGGTCATTTCTCTGCTGTCCTTCAGAAAAGCCACGGAAACAAGAGTCAGGAAGTCCTTCCAAGCATCCAGGACTGGGTCTGAGGGGCGCTGAGCACTGTCCCTCCGTCACGCGTGCTTCCTCATGCACTCAAGCACCACGAGTGGCACTGGATAAGTACGCGTGGACAGTGCTGTGCAGTAGAAGCAAAAGTAAAGTAAACATTTGGCCACAGTTGCAGAGTGACAAGCAAATCCCAAGGCTCAGGAAGAAGCAGAAGCATGAAGAAGACCACCAGAGCAGCATGCCATGCAAGCTCAACCCCAGTGAGGCACTTGTTGCATCACCTGCTGACCTGCACAGCTCCAGCTTCCTAAGCGAGGGATGGCCACATCTCCTGCTGCAGGCAGATTAAATGACTCAGGCACTTTTGTGTGTTATTCTCAGACCCGCAAGGCATAAACAGAAGAACTTTGCATGCCTCTGCAAAGGACTGGAAATTACCCTCTTGTTATACCCACGGTTAAGAGGGTAATAAAACATTCAAATAGGCTAGGGAACAGGCCAAGCAGGAAGAAGAAACACTGCTCTTCCTCTCTCCCAAAGTTATCATCTGCCTTTGTTTTTAATTTGTCCAAGTTAATGTGTCTTCAGGTGTTCAAATAGAGTGTGAAGGCTTGAAAACAGGAAGGGGAAAAAAAAAATGAAGGGGGATAGGCTCCCAGCGAACAACAGGGTTCCATACCTGTAAAATGTGGTCAAAGAAAGGCAGTGCGGTTTTGTGGAAGCAAGAACAGAGACACACTTTTACTTTGGCCATGCATAGGCCGAAGTGTGCAGAAGTTAAATACAGAAAACACTAGTGCGCAGACATGACTACAGCCATTTGTGCACTCTTTCTGTGGGCTTTTCTCCATTTTTCTACAAAATAGCATTGTGCAAGCAGGCTGGTGTGTTTGAAACTAATGCAAAAAAAAAAAAAAAAAAAAAACACAAGACAGAGGACAGACAGTCATTGCCAGGAGATAGGAGATTCCTTCACCAGTCCCTCTTTTGGGGTTGTTTACCGTGTTAGACCCTTCCCTCCTATTGCCCTGTTTGAGACAAATGTTGAAAAGAAAAATTGTTTACTTGTGCCCTAAATACAGTTACGGAAAGAAAGCCATTTGCATGCAATTTCCTGCAAAATTTCATTAATCTCTTATGTCCTCTCTCTTTTCCTGGTTCAATACAACATTTTGTGTGGCTGTAAGTAATTGCTACAAATCTTCCTTGCAGCCTGCAGTTATCCCGCAGCTCCTTGGTACCCCATCAAAGAGGAAGACTGCATATGTCTGAACTTCATCCTAATTTAATAAGGAAAGATGATTAGTCATAGCCTAGTCCTGAACTTTACCCATTACAGTATTTATGACACAGACTTTCATGCAGTAGGCTTAAAACAAAATACAGACCATCTTTATCTTTGTTATCTGTATGTTTAATGACTGTGGACTTACAAAAATACGTTATACAATTTCGTATCAATCAACAACTAGAATTAGGAACACACAAGGATTCACGATTCTCTTTGAAAAGCTCTGGTTTCTGCACATACAGGCAAACAATTCAACAGCTTGTTTGAACATGTTAATATTGCTACCCTGCAAACTGTTTGGTTCTTAGTTTTGTTTTGGTTTTTTTTTTTTTAATGAACTACTTAATTCTTCCATTATTCGGTATAGTAATCCCTACTGATAGCGATCAGGACAAATCTCACAAGTTTGAGCCCTTAGCCAACTTTTAATCACATCTCCTAAATGTCCATAAACACCTCTGAAAATTCTCAGACAGTAAACTGGTATAGCACACACGTCCAGACATCTTCCAGCCAGAGTTACAACATGCTGGAGTTCAGGAACATTTAAAAAATATTAATTAAGATTTTCAGAATATTTGACTTGACAAAATATAAGTTAAGACTTTTTAGAGGCTGCCAACTTTTTCCTCTTGGTGATGGACCAAGCAAAAATGGTCACTGGAAGTTTCCTCATTACCTTCCAGCGTCTACTAAATTGTTGTTTCTTGAAGTTGACGTGATTAATTAAACCTTCTTTTCCACTCAGTTCCAATGAAGGCACAAATATTTCCAGCTATATACAGAACATAAGTGCATAAGAACAAATGGGAGGTATTTGTAAGGCTCCAGCTTTACAAAAAAAAAAAAAAAGTATTCTGTTTCTGGAACTCTTGTATTGATGTAAGCCAATTAATTCATTAGGCCAAAGCATGACAATGTTTTCCAGCAGCCTTACACTCTCAACTTCTGAAAATTAAAAATAAAATTTGAAAAAAAGAAAATTAGCTGCTTATATCACTTTTCCACATACAGAGGGTTTTTTACACTGTGTTCAGCCCTGAGCCCTTGCAGACAGACAAGGGAAAAGGCAAACAGGAAGCCTGTTCCCGAGACCATTTTGTGACATTCCATTGGGAAGAGTCCCAGGAAAAAGAGCAATGTGCTCTCCCCAGCCACAAATCTAACACCTCAGACTTCAGCAGCACAAAGGAAGTATCATCCAGATCAATGGCCATGGCCCAAAACTTTCACTATCTTCTGTTAAAGCCAACACTGTTTCACTTATTTGGGCTTCTAAGCAACTCTAAGTACTCTTTTTATGCACCATGCATAATGCCTAAGTAGTGTGTGTGTAGGGTATCTCTCTTTACTGAAAGGATTGCAGTATGCAGCATGCACAATGTGCTGCAGTTTATTTTCATGACACAAAAAGGCAGGCACAACCTGTATCAGTGACTTGCAGACATCTTCTAAAAAAAGTTAATAAAAAAAAATGTGAGTTAGAAAGGCGGATCACAGAATCATTAAGGTTGGAAAAGACCTCTAAGATCAGCAAGTCCAACCATCAGCCCAACACCACCATGCCTGCTAAACCATGTCCTGAAGTGCCACATCTACATGGTTTTTGAACCCCTCCAGGGATGGGGACTCCACCACTTCCCTGGGCAGCCTGTTCCAATGCTTCACAACTCTTTCAGTAAATAAACTTTTCCTAATATCCAATCTAAACCTCCCCTGTGCGAAGCTTTTTTCTGTGACCTGAAGAACCAGTAGAATTATTTTCAATTGAAGACTGAAAGCCTCACATAATCCGATAATATGAGAACTAGGGCTTTCTGAAAAATGGAAAACATTGAATGATTTTCACTTAAGGGGGCCTGAAATCACCTGAGGGTCTGTCCCAGCAAAACTTGTTCTCAGTCTCTACCATTGTGAAGTTGCAGCATAAACTTCAGTCTGCTTATCAGTATGAACTGCCTCTCTCCAGATTTACTTGCTCTACTATACCATCTGCGTATCTTGAAATGCAACGGCATTCTTTTTATTACAACCCCCTGTATTTACAGTTTGTGTTTCATTAATGGAAAACTCAAGAAAAAACAAAACAGAAGAGAGAGAGCATGAAGCACACTGGATTTATCACTCCCTCTTTGAAAATGCCCCCATTCTTCTTCAGACTCAAAGGCAAAATTTTGCTGGTTCGGCCATTCTCTGAGAGCGAGCGCGTGCAACACAGTCCAGTGGACTCCTGCCACACAATACAACAAGCAAAGAAATCTTGCTGACTTTTACTGTAGTCCTTTCTCTGATGTGTTTGGCTAACACTCCAGCCTGAATTTTCAAGTTTCCTCTTGACTTTTCTAGTTCAGAGCTTGGAGTGAGGTAACTACATCAACGTTCTAATTTAATTAGAAAGCAGACTGCTGATCAAAACATCAAGCAGAGTGCCACAAATTAGAGCTGGATTAAATGCAAAGTCAAAAATATATTAAAATTATTTTGAATTAAATTCACCTTTCCCCTTTTATTTGAAATTAGCCTCTGGGCTTAATTTCAGAGAATAAATTTTGGGTGTCCAGAAAAGCTTAATGTGTTAACTCAGTTTTTATAAGCTAGGTGGTGGGAAATAAGCATTGAAATAAACAAGCTGTTAGGACAAGTACATTCTCCAGTTATTAAAATAAGACTGGAAGCCAGGTCTGCAAATACCTGCAACTAACTACTTGACGTTGCTGTTCTTCAGGAATAACTGTATGCTTGTTATGTGTAACTTCATACACTCCTTATACTTAATATTATTGTTGAGTCCAAGCGCATCTCAATTTAACAGGCAAAAGCATTAACATAGGATTTACATTGCTCTCAGTATCTTCCCAGCCAACATTTTCAGGTGTCTTTCCGCACTCCACAGCTAAATGTGTAGTTCCTTACTCTTGGATATTAGGAAGTCTATAGTGATACTTCTCGATACACATCCTGATATTTTGTCTACCAGGATGAACAAAGCTGGACACATTTTCAAACACTGCACAGTTGGCTTCAAGTATTCAAAAGCGAAGAAATCTTCACAGCAATGCAAGGATGACGCTGACAGACACCTGTCAAAAAGACACGGATACATACCTTGCTGAGCAATGGCACTTTATTCCCTGTGCAGAATGGAAAGTTTACTTGATCTAAGTCTGTCTGAAATTTCAGTGTAAATAAAAGAGTTCTCTTCAAACTGTTTCAAGAACAGCTGCCATTTCCTTGAACTGTCTGAAGAAGTTCTAAAAAACAAAAGATAAATTTCAGCTTCTTGAAGAAAAGCTTGAACTGTAGTTCACACTAGCATGTTAGACAAAAATCACAATGTGTGCTTCTTACATGCCAAAATAAAACCTTCTTGCACAAATGTTTCTATACCGATCTGAAATAATCCAGGCTTCTGAAGTACAGCATCCAGTTCTTATAGTAGCTGAACAGAAAATTATTAAATAGGTTTCAACCAGAATTAATACAACATTTCACAACACCTAAGGATTCAGAATACCCTTCTGAAATTCCTGCCAGTCCAGCCCCAAGGATTTATTTATTTGTAAGCTTGTACGATATTCTAAGTGATATATTCACCTTTTAAACAGGAATGACAACACAAGTGCCACATTTATGCAGAATTAAGCAAAGTTATGTAAGTTTCATAGATGAAGGCATAGCAATTAAGAGCCAGTAGTGACAAAGAAGACTGACTGCCATTCCTAATCATTAGCAAATGTCAAGCTTAACTCAAGTTTTAGATTTTGAGGCTGAGGAACAGTTCCATAGATTTAGAATATTCCTTCCATTTTCAGTAAGGCAGAGTGACAGCTGACAAGAAAGATCCAAAAGTCTTTACGTCTTCAGTTGTCAGCTTATTTGTAAGAGAACAGAATAATTAATGCTAAATTAACATTTTCTGATAAGTGATGTAGAACTAAATGCTATGAAACAAGTATTTAGCTTCAGTGCTTTAAATAATTGTTTAATGCTTCATCTTTGAATGATCGCATTAGCAAATAAGCAACACAAACATATGCATCAAGGTATGCAGTTGCTCCTTCACAACAATGTCACTGTTGTTTTTAAGAGACCGGATCAAGTAACACCGATTACAGACCTTGAACTGTGGGATCGTCATTTCAAAAGATTTGTCTGTTATTTGTCCTGAAGGGTCTGCCACTTTTAGTGTCACTGTAACATAAGGATACTTCAGAGACCTGCAGGTGTCGGAGCTCATCGCAACTCCCAGCTTCCATTTAATATCTACAAACTACAAAGAAGAAAATCACTGGAAACGGCGTTAAAGAGGGAGATCTGGCCTACCATTGCTATTCTGTTGGATGGATGTTTTACAGACAATATAGGACATCTAGAGCTCATACCCAAATGGGAAACAAATATATGCATTCAGAAATTATTTGGAGCACAAAATCATTGGCCCTTCCTTTTAATAGTGAAAAAAATACGCAATTTAGTAAGTTATTTCACTTCATCTGTTTTCCTTATTCAAGTACTGTCAATAGTCAAATACAGTCTTTTAAAGTTCTAAGAGGAGCTTGAGCCACAGAGTTCACCTGGCTTGTATATCACTTGTGCTTTTGTCATTGTTTTTGTAGAAGTTTCTAAATCAAGTGGAAACGTGAGAAAAACCTCAGACAGCGCAGGAAAATTTTGCAATAGTACTAATGGAAAGAAATTGGGGCATTTCATAACAATATTTTATATAAATCAAAGTACATCATAAATACATTTCAGACAGGTAAGTTATCATTTTTAGCCTTCTATGATAGGCAGAACTGTTGAATAAAGAAGTGAAGAGAAGCTTACTATTGAGCCTCAGATGTTGTTAGAAAAAGAGATCTTAAAATGCAAATACACTGTGTTGTTTTTTTCAAAAAGTGAAAAAAAAAGGAATGCTAGAAATTGACAGAAAGTATCTTTAAAAAAAGTTTCAACTTCAGGGAGACAAATAATAAAACGATCAAGTGCTGGCATTATCAACTCTAAAGAACACTTCAAATCACATTTAAAACAGATTTACACAAACAGTTAATACAATTGTCTGCCACACTGACTGCGCTCACATTCCCCAATAACACTATGAAACATTAATTTTTAAAAAGGTATGAAATGTGCATTTGTCATCCAATCACATTAGAGAACTGGTCAGCATTTAGATGACCTCTATTGTACATGCTTCTTTATCCAGGTAGACATTTGGCAACATATATACACAGGAAAGCTCTCAGCAGTCACCATACCACCGTGTGCTTGACTACACAACATACACAATGAAGCACTGACATTTCAGAAAAGTTAATAGTTAGCTCAACTGCACTTTGTCATTTAGTTACCTGCCCCACTGTGTCCATATTTCTTACATCTTCTGACACACTAATGGATTTGCCCTGCTCATTCCATACGTGACGAATAACTTGGACTATGTGTTTGGGCAGCGTGCTGACTGCATTGCCCAAGGTGGTGACGAGTTCTTCCGTAGAGAGGTTGTTTCTGGCTGCTGTGCTACAGGTATATTCAAAGAACACCGCATCAATTTAATTCTCCACACATTTAACAGAATTTCTCACTTCACCCCAAATAGACACATAAAGCAGAAATTTAAAAATTGCCTATGTACGCTACAATAATTAGGCAGCCTGTAATTTTTTCTTTTTTTCAGAATATTTTACTTATCTTTTGTATCCACATGCAAAACACCAACATGACTTGACTTTTAATGTGTCTTAATATGCAGAGACCAAGCTTTGCCAGGCTTGGAGAACACACAACATCAAAACAAAAATAATCACAGCCTCCAGATGCTGTTGCAACTGAAAAAAGGCATAATTCAGTGAAAGATGTGTGCATAGAGCAGTTAAACAATATTACTGCTTTAGAAACAAGGCAGTTTAATTAAACATTTGGGAGAAGCAATTGAAGTATCACCAAAAGGTAAGCAAGGGCCTCTAGGTACTGGTATAACTGGTACTAACAGAAACTATATGATGCAATAAACCCTCAACCGAACAGGCAGCAAGGCTAGAGGAAAATTGCCACTTGATCTCCTCTACAGAAACAGGTGCGAAGAAAAAAAAATGGCACCCTAGGTTTGTTCATGCAGATCCACTCCTCTTAAAGAGACATTAATAAAAGAGAAAAAGAGTTGGGCCTCCAAGTAGCATGGTCTAAGATAATTTAAGGCTTTACATGTTATAGAGGAAAAAGTGGTATGTTAAATTTCTACTGGTATATTTTCTTCAGTCATTAATGTTACATAAAATGTTTAGATACTAGATATTAAAAAGAACAAGTAAGACCTTGAAAATTTTATCTTTCTGAAAACAGAAAAACCTGTAAGTTTGCTGTAACAAAAAACCAGCTGAAAACACTACCTATAAACTGTACCTTTATCATGGCAGAGGTCAACATTGTAAAACCACGTGCCCTTCAAACAGGCACAAATGCTTGCTTCTGATCTCCAAGAAACAAGTTTTTAGAACACGCTTCTTCCAGGCAAAGGCCTAGCTGACTTAGCTTTAGAACTGAGCTTAACTTCCTGTTTTATTTTGCCAGTAGTCCTAAAGCTTGCAGACAAGATCTTAGAACAATTTCCTCTCTTTAGGTTTTTTTTTTATTATGAAAAGTATGACTATATAAGTAACTACACAATTTTTAAGAACATAAACCAAGCCCAGAAGTTTTTTTATGTACTGAGAGTCACAAACATTTGCCCTTTTCCCAAATCAGTTAATTTTATACAGACATTTGATGTCACTTTTTAATATCACTATTAAGTCAAGGTGGAGGAAAAAGAGACATGAGGCAAAGTAAATTATTTTGTGCTTACCTAAATAGAAAGGAAACAACGTTAGCTATTTTTGCGAGGTCACCAACATTAATCTCAATCCCCGTTGCTTGAATTCTCTAGAAACAGAATGTCCAAACAATTACAAATAATAACTTATGCATTAATAAAACCCTCTTTGTACATATATACACAGAAAAAAAAACAGAACTTGGGGAATGTATCCTTTACAGCATACACAGCTAATACACTTGCTTATAAGGACTCGTATCCAAGCTTACCTGACACAGTTCAGCTGTATTTACACCTGGGATTTTATTGTTCAGATGTTGAATTATTTGTTCACACTGTAAAGAAAGTAAGTTTAAAAATATTTTTTAATATTGTATTTTAATATACAAGACAAAGTCAGTTTGAATACTTGGAGAGTACGAAACAACAACAACAAAAATGGTTAATGCAAAAATGGACAACAGGAGGATGTTTTAAATGCAGAATGAAGAATAAAACCATAGCAATAACCGATCTCAAAATTACATCAAATCCAAGAAAAGCAAATATACTCAGTCGAGACTTCTGGTTACTACCTCACTAGCTACTCCTACTTAACACACCATTCTCATCCTAATTGAACAGTCATCCTGTTCAAGTGCATGCTACAGTAAACAAGCTGAGTGTTTTCTAGACAAGCCAGCTTGATATCTCATTTAGATGAAAGGTAAACACACATTTTTTAAATATCTTCTGTAGTAAAAAAACATAAATTTAAAGTAAGCCCACTACTCTTAGCAGGACTAGTCCATTTTAGGAGTCACATAAATCTAAGGTACCACATACATAAGAGTCCCTTTTGCAACAGACACAAACCTGAAGAGCTTAAACAAACAGGTTTCCTATAATTTCTTAACACACCTGGGGTGCATTAAGTAGAGTGTGGCCAGCAGGTCGAGGGAGGTTCTCCTCCCCCTCTACACTGCCCTAGTGAGGCCCCATCCGGAGTACTCTGTCCAGTTCTGGGCTCCCCAGTTCAAGAAAGATGAGGAGCTACTGGAGAGAGTCCAGTGGAGGGCTATGAGGATGGTGGGGGGACTGGAGCATCTCTCCTACAAGGAGAGGCTAAGGGAGCTGGGCTTGTTCAGCCGGGAGAAGGCTGAGAGGGGACCTTATAAATGCCTACAAATATCTCAAGGGTGGGTGTCAGGAGGACAGGGCCAGACTCTCTTCAGTGGAGCCCAGCGACAGGACAAGGCGCAATGGGCACAAACTGAAGCATGGGAAGTTCCATCTGAACATGAGGAAGAACTTCTTCCCTCTGAGGGTGACGAAGCACTGGAACGGGCTGCCCAGGGAGGTTGTGGAGTCTCCTTCTCTGGAGATATTCAAGACCCGCCTGGACAAGGTCCTGTGCAGCCTGCTCTAGGTGACCCTGCTTTAGCAGGGGGGTTGGACTAGATGGCCCACAGAGGCCCCTTCCAACCCTGAACACTCTGTGATTCTGTAATCAGAGTGCCAGAAGCCCTTCCGCATCCCATTTATTGCTCTACTTACCAGTTCCGCAAAAAAGTCTTGAGGTATTAAATTAATCTTATCTGCTGCACCCCCAACATCTGCAAAACACAAGCAGCAGCGATCAGAAGCAAATCCTTAGAGGGCTGTAGTAATAAATCCAGTGACTCTCTGAAGAACTCCTAGGTCATCATGCATGCACCTACCCTGAAATCAAAGCCTTCCTTAAGGGAATTTGTCCCGAACTGCACTAACGCAACCCGCCCCGCACCCCCAGCAAAGTCTGACAGGCGCGACTCCGTAAGGCCTTGGAGCCCCAGGCCCGGCCTATGCCACTGCCCGGCCTGACAGTCCCGACCAGCTC